TATTAAAGATTGTATCAATAATAATATAATTGTTTTCTTGTAGTGGGCAGGAAATTAGATCACACCAAAAGCAAGTTATTAATATTAAAATAATTATATGATAAGTTACTTGAACATTCATTTATTGTAATTTGTTAACATTTTATCAGCTACATCTTTTTTCATTTCTGCTGAGTATCTAGAAACCCAATTATGTATAGTTTCTACCTTAGGAATTTCATCATGAGAAAATTGGGCATTATAAACAGATTCTTCAATAAGTTCTTTATGCATATCCCCTGGTATAAACCTTTGACTCTTATCATAATTCCCCAAGTGAAAATAGAATTTTAAAATTTCTACAATAGCTTTTGGTATATGCTTACCTCCTCCCTTTTTTCCAAATTTCTGGTTTCTTTTAATTGCTCACCCTGATTTAAGTGGAAATTCATTTTCAACACTGCACATAATTAAATTATCATTGTCAGTGTCATTGTTAGATTTGGATCTTTCAAATCTTTCAACATTTTTTCTTGTAGTTTGTTAAAAATAATTTCAATTAATAAAATTTTATAATGTTCAGATAATTGTTGTATTTACCTAATATATCTGGAATTGGTATATTCCATTGTTCTTTAGAAATGGAGTGGACTCTGGCTTGTTAATTTTTTGTTTAACCAAACCATTTATTTGTGCCAGTGAAAAGTTTACCCAATCTTCTACATTAGGTAATGCATGACCACATATGAAGCTACTATACTCTCCACTAATTGGCCATTGCCAAAAATATAAATCTGAAACACCAGCTAAAGTTTTCACTCTCTTTTCTATATTTCTTTCAGGTTCTAAATAAGCAATTGAAGTTCCTCAAAGTTTTTTAACAGCTGATTCTATATCATTACCTGTTTTTAAGTCATTCCCTAAACTACAAATCTTCTGATTGCATGTGCAATCTTATAAAACACATAATTATTGTGTTGAAATTGGTATAATATCTGCCATATTTCAGGCAGTCTTTGTGCATATACTAAGAATTAATATTTCAATCAGTGGATAATAAACAAATACACTTACTTGGGCATGATGAGAATCTATA